CGGGCACGGGTACGGGTACGGGATACGGACAACCAGCGACCCCGGTTTAGTTGTTGGGCTGGCCTTAGTTTTTATGGCACAGCTGCCACTGGCACAGCAGACAGCCAAGGAAATCAAAGCAGGACACACACACAGGCGCGTGGGAGTCCAGCCAGAATCCTCCGGAATACTCCGGAATTGAACAATAAAATAAATGATATTTGCCCAAGTAGCTGGCGCTTCGCTTTTAAATTCAATAAAATTTTATGAAAATGCTGCCATTAAGTTGTCCCCGTACCCTAGCGGCACATATGTGTGAAAGGATCAGAGTAAAGCTGGCAGCAGCAGCAGCAACAAAAAATAAAGAAGAACATAAAAAGGGTCAAGGCATGTCCAAATGAGATTGACTTTTACGACAACGGTCCGAGATCGAAGCGTGCCGTGGAACGAAAACTATATAATCAGCGCTTCGAATGCAACAGCTGCTGCAACAATCCCCACCAATCCAAGAAAAACGCCCAGCCATTTATTTCGTTTTCGTTTTTCTCTTCGACCAAAAACAGCCTTTCAAACGTACAGCAAAAATCAGCTCATTGCAATTGGCCAACAAACAAAAACGAAATAAATAATTCCGGCAATACAATTCTTCTGCGTATAATTGGCAGCATTATTCCTCGTGCATTTCATTTTCTCATTTCTCTTTTGGCGTACGTTCCCAACTTTGAAAAAGTTAACTCGAGAATTTCGTATTTGAAGTTAAGACCAAAAAATAAATCGATTTTATTTACGAGAAATCACTTTAACCTTTACCTGCCGAAAGTGTCTGGCGGAAGGTTCGTTTCCATAATTTTTCTTTCGTTATTTCATGCCAGGATATTTCTCTATTTAATTTCCTCTAAATTAAGTTCGTTTGTATTTTTTGTTTTTGGGCGAAAATAAATTGTTTCTGTTTTCCAGAATCATATTTCAGTGATTTCTTTTTGCACTTATTTTCGTATTCAAGTGTGCGTTTTCTTCATTTGAAATTTTAATTAAAAATACTTTTATTTATCGTATTTATTTGTGTTTTTCCACCTCAGTTCTGCCGGGTTTGCCCTCTCTCGTTTGGTTTTTTGTTGGTGCTATTTTTTTGTTTGTTTGTTTGCCGCTGCGAAACGCGTACGCGTAGCGAGTGACAAATGCGTGGCCATAACTTGCTGCAGTGGCATGTGTGACATTTATTACAGCATTTTTAAGGTGCTGCCTGCCTGCCTGCCTGCCTGCCTGCTGGCAGGGGAGTGCTCGCTAATAAATTAGCTCCCATTTGAAGCGCAGCGCAAATTGGCATTGGCAAGCATATGTGGTGGCTGTCTGAAAGGATGCCAAATAAATCATATATCTCACAAATAATGTGGAATGGCTTTGGACATTCATTAAATGTGCTGCTGCACCGCAAGCCCAAGTAGCTGGAGGTGGCAACTCAATTTTAATTAAATTTCTAGTAGCCACAGCAATTAGGAGTGGCCTGAAGATTTATTTGATGTTCAGCCACATTAAATATATGTGACTATTTAATAATCAAGCAAATATTTTACGCAGCTTTAATCCTCTTGAGTTAATTGAATACAAGTATCCGAGGCTTGTGTGTATCCATTTACATTACTCTCGACTGATGCTAACATCATTAACTCACATTTATTTTGACCTACTAGCATGCTGCTGGTGGCAGCTGCTGGCAGCTGCTGGCGCTTTAAATTACTCAGAGAATATGTTGAAATTAAAGCATTTTGCAAGCAATTAGAAAGGCAGCCACAACATAAAAATGAACATAACAGCACACAGATATATGTACATACCCACAGAGTGGGTGGAGGTGGAGGTGGAGAGCATCGCATCCTGCATGGAGTGAACACAAATGAAGCTGCCTGCCACCCAAAATGGCTCGCAGCGTAAATTACGCGTATAAAATGAACATTAGATTCATATTTTAATATGTGGTTGGGGGGACACAGACACACTCTCATTCGCACTTCCGTACATAAGAGAACATAAATAAAGGCAAGGAATTCCACACAGAGACTCCCTGCCAGTCCTCTCTCTCTTGGTGAATGCCAACGCCAGAGACGCACAACAACAAATAACCTGCAGCTATTACAAACACAAATACAAACAGACTCACACACACACTGAATGTCCTAGTGTGTGTGTGTATCTGCGTACTTATTTCCATTACAAATGAGCTTATTATGCGCTCAAGTCACAAAGTCATTGCGACTTAAAAGGATTTGCATGTGATTAGCAGCCCGAAATGTAAGCAAAAGTCTTGTGCCAAAAGACAAAAACAACCAGAGAGGCATTCGCATGGAAATACGTGGGAAAATCGACGGGTTTGATACCACTTGATTATCCAACGACTGTCGCAACGAATTTCCTTTTAAGCCTAGTTAATACGAGCATGTACATACATGTAGATAGGTATGAAAAATTGTACACACATCTACTTTCGATGCAGCAGCTAATTGGAAATTTATCGTTATATTTTACAAGTATTACATATTTTATTTTATTTATATAAATTTGTATTTTAATGCAAGAAGGTATTACCTGAAGCAAGGCTGATGTTTCTATATTATATTTCTATATTCTATATTTTATTATAACTCGACTTAAGTCATAGAATCATCTGGTATGCCCTACCTACACGTACAAGTGGAGGGTGCAGCGAATAAAAGCCAAAGACGATTTGTAAGTACTTCCCAAGCAGCCAGAACCACGTGCGTACGAGAAGGGGGAGAGTGTACTCATACGTATGTATGTGAACACTTGTGGGTGTATGTATTTATTGTTGTATTTAGGGGGGAGGAGGAGGCAAATTGCCGACAGCCGAAAAGCGGGCCGCATAAAAACAATGAACACATCATAATCATAATTCTTGTGGGCTAATTTCAGGGGGCAAATGAGTGACTGACTGGCGAAATGTGGTGCATAATTTAGTTAGCTTCGCTCTTTACTCTCGAATGCATTAAATGGGAAACGGGAAACGGGAAACGGCTGGTTTTTGGGCTCAAGCTCCAGCTGATATCTGGCCTTGGCCCAAGCTACGGGCCTGTCTCTTCGAATCGATAGACTCGACACACTGACAGCAGGCAGAGGAGAGACCAGAGGTAGGGGAGAAACCAAGGCACCAAGGATGAGTCTAAGGCTGGAGCTGGTGCAGGGTCTTTGCGCTTCGATTACCTTGCATAATGGGCGACGTCTTCTTTTGCATAAGCGCTGAAAATTTGCACAAAAGAAGAGGGCAAATAGAAAAGCACTTATTCGTTTTAGCAGCAGCAACTGCTGAAGTGGCAGTGGCAGTGGCAGTGGCAGTGGGGAGACGTGGCCGAGCAGCAGCAGCAGCAGAAGGAGACGACTGTCAAGGCTATGTAATTGAAGCTGACTTGAAAGTGTTGCTTAAGCCAGAGCAACGAGGCTAAAAGAAGTGGGCGCAGAGGTAACAACCGGACGGGGCAAATATCGATTATCTCACGGGCGAAAAGGCTTTGGCTTTGGCTTTGGCTCTGGCTCTGGCTGAATAAAATATGCATTTCTTTATTTTTTTTATGTTTTTTTTTTTTGGCCATGTTTTCAATCAAATTTTGCATTACTCTGCGAGGCTTAAGCTGTACCAAGCAGCTACCAAAAAATGCTGTCTAAATATTCCAGATATTCCATATTACATATATACCTATATTTTGTATGTCTATGTAGCTGAATGTCGGTATGTGTTTATCTTGCGAATTATAATGACGTCAAATGGAAGCAGTGACTTGCATTCGCCACCCTAGCCGCCCACCCGGCCAAGAGGACTAGCGAAAAAACAAGTCAAGAGTGAAAGACCAAGGAAAATGCAGAGAAACGAATTATGCCAGACAGAGCTTGAATGGGGTGGTGTGGGGTGGGGGGTTGGCTGGCATCCATTGAAATAGAACTCGGCACAAAAGGCTAGACCTGAAGTTTAGCTAAAAGCCAGATAAATAAATAAACATACAAAGCATACGTATGGTGGGGGGAGGCAAAAACGAGAGAGAGAAAAAATGGAGATTTGGAAAGTTGTTGTGCTTTTGAATACATAAAATAAATCGCAAAGCAAATAGAGGTGAACGGCGAACGGCGAACGGTGAACAGACAACAATGAGCAATGATCAGGCAGAAGTACGCATAAGTGGGGGCGGGGACTCCATTTCCTTGGAGTTAACTTGGCCAAGTTTAAGCTGCACACACACACAGACGAGAAGTTAGTTGTTTGCTTTAAAACTGGCTAAAAATATCAGATACAGTGGGCCAGAGAGATTGAGGCAGAAGCATCTAAAATTAAGGATGTGTGGCACGTGTGTGCTCAGCCCGCTGGCTATTAAGCGACACTCCAGAGAGGGGGCTGGGGGAGTGGGTGGATAAAATTGAGAGAGCGAGCAAACTGTGCATAAAACTCAATCAAGTCGAGACAACAGCCAGCACACATCAATGGCCTTTACATAGCCGAGTGCTCGTCGTCCCGTCGTCCTGCCGTTCTGTTTGCCTGCCATTGTCCCTGCAGGCATGTCAGGCTCTAATGCAAACCCTGACACGCTCTCAGAGCAGCCTTCGTGTCCCCTGCCCTTTTCCAGCTGCACCTCACGACTGCTTATAAAACGGGAATCACCGTGTAAGACAATGGCCCCAGCCCGAATCCATTGTTTTGGCAACACAAAAAAAAACAAAAGGAAGGGCAGGCTGCTCTCCCTCTGTGTCTCTCTCTCTCTCGTCTCGTTTGCCCTTTTGCTGCTTGGGGGCTGCTTGTGTGAAAGGTACCGGCAGAAAGTCAAATAACTTAAGCAAATGTGCACAGGCCCAAAGAGTGTGGTCCCGGCCGGGCCAACTGTCAGAGCATGGCCCGAAGCAGGTGTCGTCCCTTGGTGCAAATGGGATTCGGACTGGCACAGGGATTGAGACTGCGACTGCGACTGCTACTAGCTCTAGCTCTAGCTCATTTCGAAACACATGTATTTATTTGCCAGAAATGGCTACGGCTTTATGTGGGCGATCAGGAGGCGTACGTAGATTCCGCGCTCGAGCAGCAGCTTCTTGCAGTTGGCCATGGTGTGGCGGTAGACGAGGGCTGGCGGTCCACGCAGCTGGTTGCTGGAGAACTCGAAGCGTTCGCAGTAGTTCGGGCGAAAGAACACCTCGGAGTGGGTGCCGTGCACCAGGGTGTAGGAAACCAGCAGCTTGGCAGACCAGTCCTCGGGCGGATCCAGCTGCAGGCAGAGGTGGAGCGAGCCCATGGCCTGCGGATTGTCATCGTCGGCAGCGGGTGTCTGCCACTTGAGGAGCAGCGACCACTGCTGGGCGTGGGCTCGCAAGTTGCTCACCGCGACGAACTGGTTCTGGGGAAACTTGCGAATGCGTCCTTGGGGCAGGACTTGCACGAGCCGCACCGTCAGGTTGGGCAGCTGCACCATACTCTGGATCTGCTGCAGCACACGTGTCCGGGCATCCCGCTCGGCTTGTATGGGCAGCAGCAGCTCCATCAGCTCGGCGCCCGTCTTCGAGGGCCACGCACACGCCGCATCATGGGCACTGGCCTCGGCGCGTCGACCGTACCATGGGCATCCAATGCGCCTGTACTTGCAGTACACCAAGCGCCCGGGACACTCGCCTCGGAAGTGCGATCGGAGGGCGGAACGCGGCATTTTGGTGCCGCAATGCTCGCAGGCCAGCTGCATCTCGGCCAGGAGCCACTCAATGGCGATGTTCCGGTTGGGCAGGTGGCGGTACATCCTGACACTGCACTGCGGACAGGTGCCGAGCGTCTCGCACAGCATCTTGTCCAGCACCTGCACCTGGTAGCACGCCTCACAGATCAGATGGCCATTGTGGCACTGGAAGATCCGCCCCACGGGTATCGTCTCACAGCGAATGCAAAGGAACTCCTTGTGAACTGTGGCGCCTGACGGCATGAGACCGGTGAGCGGCACATTCGCCAGCTCGTCGTCGATGGCATTGTCAAACAGGCGGCAAAGGCAGCAACGTTCGTCCCTGCACTCGCAAAGATTTCCCCAGCAGTGATCCACAGATGAATCAGATGAGGAAGTGGAAGGCTCCATGATGCCTAACAGGCTGATTCCTGGAGTGGATTGGCAGCCAAATATGTAAAAATATATACGAGAACAGCAGCTCGGGCGGGTTCTCTGCTATAGAATTAATTTTAGAGCAGAAGCAGAAGCAGAAACTAGAATGACAGTTTTTGGAATGTTTTTGATTTGTTGAACAGCTGCTGGGAGCCTCACTGAACATTTCTCGGTTCGGGGGGCCTGCTACTTACAGCTGTCATCCTGCAAGCGTATCGTCTGGTTGCTGGATGGGGACAATGCAGCTAATCTGCCGAGAGCACATGGACATGGGCTTCCCTTTTGCCAGGGCAAATCCTTTGTTCACACACACACTAAGCGCTTTTTAATTAGTTTTTCCAGTACGTTCATTCAGGTTCCAGGAATGCTGCAAAATCGGAGGCAAGGGTCTGCCAATAATTCCTGGAGCATTGCTCGGCTTGTGACTCAGGACTCCCACATCCCACACATCTGATTTCTGTCGCGTGGAACCACTTGAATTTAAAGCTTTTCGCTGGAGGAACGCTCCAGCTGCTTTTTCGGCTAAATAATAAACCCTTGTAAATCATTTCAGCGAATGCTGGCCACGTGATTTCCACTCCACTCGCACGTGCCCCTCCTGCTGGCGCAACATCTGCCGAAGCAGGAAATATTGGCAAAGCGTTTAAGCGCAATAAATATGTTTGATTGCTGGCAAGTTGCCCGAAAGATAAAGGCCAAGCCAGCAGCAGAAATCGTTGGCTTAAAGAGCCTCCTGCGAGTCCTGGCCGAGCTGCGAATTTGTAATTCATTTAAAAGCGCGCAAGTAAATCGCCGCAAGCGCTGCAAGCTGTTTGCTCTGCAATTTTTAATAGTCCCTGATTGTGCTCTGTACGTACAATACACTGCGACAAAAATCGACTGAATAATGTAGATATGTCCAGGCAAAAGAATCAACTCAAATAAATAATGCTAAATTAATTAGCAGCAGTCCAGGAAAATATTCACTAAAAACTCATTTAACGAATTTATTTAGTATATTTTTTTTGGTCAGTGAATTTTTACGCTGTGCTGTAAGCGGAAAACTGCATGGATGGTATCCGGATCCTAGCTGAATAACCAACACAGCCAGCGGGTCGGGCCACGGCCACGGCCACGGACACGGCCACGGACAACGTTCGAGTAAATCAAACGAAAGCGCAACTAAAACGCTTTTGTGCACAATTCGATTATTTACGTTTATTCTTTTTAAATGATATTTCCCCCGCACCAGCGACTCGTCTGGCCAACGGGTTAGCTGGTTAGCGAGAAGGCGAAACCAATTATTTGAGGATAGAGCCGGAACATGAGGAGCTGGAGAGCAGGGAGTGCAGAAGAGCAGAGGCAGGAGCTGTAGCTGTGTAGCTGTGTAGCTGTGTAGCAGGACTGCCAGAGGGCAAGCAATTTGTAAGGAAATGAAGCGTAAGCAGAGGAAACGCAGAGAAAATATGCTGCAGTTGAAAGGCAAAGCCCAAAGCCGAAGCGGCAAACAAAAGATCAAATTAATGGCATCAAAGCATCGAGACATCGACTGGCGGAACAGCAAACACAGCTGGAGCCAGGGGGAGTGGAGTGGGTAGAGTGGCTGGCTGGCTGGCTGGCTGACTAATGAGGGGAAAGGTGCAAAGGTGTGGCAGCCAATGTCTTGCAATGAGCAAACATTTGAACAGACATTTGAACAGATGCATGGGAAATGTTCTGCATTTCGAACGATGCTGTGGAGAGATAGAGTATAAAACCCAACGGCTGGCTCATCGAAAGCATCACAACCACTTCCGGCCTTCCGCAAGCAACCAACTGTAATTCGTAGACTCTACTATCAGCATGTCAGCCAAGTACGCCCTGATCTTTGCCGTTGCGGCACTCTGCTGCCTGGTGGCCAGCACAGAGGCGGCGGCCCAGCGCAGCCGAGTGCTCAGCACTAAGCGCGGCTCCGAGCTGGTCGAGCGGACTGCCGACAGCAAGGAGGAGACCGAATTGGCAGCACAGCAGCAGCAGCAACAGCAGCAGCCACAGGAACAGCAGCCTGAGGCGGAGGAGGGCAGCGAGCTGGCTGGCCGCAGCGAGGACGATGTCGCCCAAGCTGACAACAAGCTGGAAACCGACCAGGAAAAGGACACCATTGTGCGACCCAACAAGGACGATGCCCGTGCCCGCCGCACTGTTCGTGCCGGCCGTCGTCGTGGCGGACGTCGCGGCGGTCGTCGTGGTGGACGCAGGAGCGGCGGACGCAGGCGTGGCGGTCGTCGTGGTGGACGCAGGCGTGGTGGTCGTCGTGGCGCCCGTGGCGGTCGCCGCACCTCCGTGAAGCGGCGCTCCGGCAAGGGCAACCGTGGATAAGGCTAAGGACCCGCGGAAACCCCCCCCACCGACACCAACTGGAGTTTTGGATTTTCAATGAACGACATGCCCAAATATACCGAAAAATAAACTATAATAATTTAAACTGAAGTCCCAGCTGTTCTTTGGACCTAACACCAAAAAGGATATCGTCTCTGCCAGCTGTAATCCAAAGATGCATCGCTCGATGCCTTAACTGCAATCCCCTTAGGTATTTAACGCGACCCCAAAATGTACTTTAAAGACGTTGCCCAATCACTGCCAAAAAAGGCCCCGAAAAAATGCCCCAAAATGCCAAGAGGGTGCAGGAGTGGGAGTAGGAAAATGCCATGCCTGTTTCACATTCTTTGTCTCGGTACCCACCCCCCTGCCTCCACAGTGGTGCAGGCGACGTGACATGTGACAAGAAGTTGCCGCGGCAGCATTGCTGCAACAGCTGCTGCCTCTGCCTTTGGACTGTGCCACAGCAGCTCCCAAAAATGATGAATGTGCCAATGTTGCCTGGCTCTAGAGGGTCTCGGAGTGTGACTGTTGGGCCTGTTGCCACATCCTCGGGCTTGGGACCAGCCCTGCCCAGCCCTGCCCTGCCCTGCCCGGCTACACTCTGCCAAAGTTCTTGGCCTGTCTTGTGCTGTAGTCGAGGCAAAAGTTTTGTGGCATTCAAGTTTTGTAAGCATTTTGAATTTTTAGACAGCATTTGGTGCAACATGAGGCATGGCATGGACTCTCTGGACTGCAACAGCAGAGCAACAGCAGAGCAGCAGAGCAACAGAGTCGAAGAGTCGAAGAGTTTGTTGGAGTGTAGATGGCTCCTAAATGTTAAATGAGTTTGTCAGGCGGCACACATTAAGCCGCAAATAGTTTGTGGCCTGCAGGAAATTAAACCCATGTGCAGGCAGCAGGCAGCAGCAGCAGCAGCCACGTCAGTCACACGATACATTTTGATATGAATTCTCCATTGTGCAGCACCATATGCATGCAGCATCAGGGCTTGGGGCAAACCCAATCATAATGAGCTTTTATGCGAATTCACTGGATCATTGGATCATTGAATCCACTCCCTTAGCGTTTCGTGTGAAGTTTGCAGTGTGCAGTGAGAGTTTTGCTATTAATTTCCTATTCAACTGGAACATGTGTCTGCATTCATTCATCGGCACAAGGAGGCGTGCAAAAACTCTGCCCTGCACTGCCCTGCCCTGCGCTGTCCTGCCCTTTGTCTGCGCTTATTCAACAAACAATAGATGGCCATTGTTTGGCTTTTAGCAGCAACAAAAGCCCAAAGAGCCAAACAATTTAGATAGCACAATAAGCCAAAGGGAAATTAAATTGGCTCGACCAGAAGAAGGCTTCTCCAAATAAAATGCAATTAAATTAAATTATCAGCATATGCAGGGCGGCATTACAATTATTATTTGTCAGCGTAGCGCTCTTATTTATAAGCTGCTTACGGCACACAAAATTGGAGCAGCAGCTGAATAAATTGTTACGCAGCCATCTGGGATGTCTTGGAGCCATATTCGTACAGAATATATTTTGGAACACTCGTTCCATGGACCCATGAAACATGAAAAAATATTCAATAACTTGGATGCCCGATTGACTTTCTTGCAGCGAACTTAATACAGAATAAAAATCTCTTATTCAGATTGACTTGCCACAAAGAGAACTCGCGAAGCCTTCGAAAATGCATGGCAGTTTTATTTACTTCTTTTTGTTTTTGTTACGCGATTTTTGTTGTTGCTTTTTTGAGCCGATTTTTACTTGGGCTGGAAGCACCACAACAACAACAACAACAACCACGAGAGAACAAATATTCGTTTAAAAGAGGAAGAAAGAAGGAAAAATGTGTAAAAATCACACGACGATTTTCAATTGAGCGGCGGAAATGTAACGGAAATAAATTTACATAAATACAATATGGTGCGTGCTTGTTGGCGCCATTTTATTTGCACAATACATACACACAAACACATATATATATATATATATGTGTGGGAAGAGGCATGAACATATTTACACAGAAGTGCGTATTGATTTGTGGCATATGCAGCAGCAGAAGCAGCAGCAGCAATGTGAAATGTTTTCCTCGCTTCGTTTCAGGCATTCAAAAATGTGAATTTAAAATGTTCGCTTGGCCTGTGTCTCGCCTTGCCACGTGCCCACTTTGCTTAATGCCAGCAAATATTTTCAGCATTTCGTGACCAAATTTCGAGCTGCACTATCTCGTGTGTAAATAGTGCACACACCTGCCTATCTTCTGGGGGGCGGAAGAGGATGGCATTGGAGTTGTGAGCTTAACTGACACTCGTTGGGAACTTTCGCATGGGGCCTGCATTATTTGCATTAAGATAAAAGATGAGGAGCACACACACAGTGCCAGTGCCAGTGCCAGAGCCAAAGCGAGCGGCTTCTCTCAGTTCTTAGCAGCAAAAATGTCCTAAATGTATTTCCTATAAGAGCCAAGCAAAAAAAAACACACGCCGACTACCCCCCACAGAGGGACACAGAGAGAGGGCGAACGAACGAACGAACGACGATGGCGATGCTGATAAAGACAACACATGCTGGAAAATACGCGGGGGCCGACCGGGACCGGGACAGGGACAGGGACCGGGAACGTGGCCGCTGTCGCCATTTTGTAGCATTTGCAACTTATATGCATATGTGGTCGGGGCGCACAAGGAAACGAACAAACCGAAGACCGCCAACGTGCACTGAAATTAAATTTTCCCTGCACGAATATTCCCCCACAAGCGACGGCACGAAAATGCGCCAAGATTTTTTCCTCGCTGCAACGTTGTTTTTCCTCGAACAGGAATGGCGTGCAAGGCGTCGGTAGACTTTTTCCTTGTTTCTTTCAGAATCGACATTGTCGCACAGTGGCGCCAAAATATATTTTATTTATTTTTATGTTTTATATTTCTCAATGTCCATTAATATGGGGTGCAAAATAAAAACAGCAAAAATGTGTTTATATAAAATTAGAATACTTTTGAAAGCTCCAAAATTCGGTGGCTAACAAATGTCAACGCTTGTGGGGCCCACTGTGGATTGTTAGTTTAAATGGCACAGAAATCGGTTTTACTGCTCGTACGTTTGGCATATTTTACAAATGCATTTGACATAAATTTTAAAGGGCTTAAGTGCCGAAGCCCGAATCTGTGCCCCGCCGCTCCAGCGATAAGAAGATGCCTGCGTCGCCGCGCCGCGCCCCGGCCCTTAAATGTTTTTGTTGGGTGCAGACATAAAATAGAGCAATTACAGCAAAGATCATAAATTATGCAAAGCCCGGCAACAAGTGTGCGATAAGCCGAGGAACAGGCAGGAGTTGGAGTTGGAAGTGAGGAAAGAATGGGACTGGAATGGGAGGTGGGGCTGTGTGCTCTTGTCTAACAATCATCACTCACGGGCAGAGCTCGAGACACATCGCGAATTGAAATAATACGTAGAGAGTGTCTTACGCTACGGGCATCCGTTTGCCATTTCTACATGTGGCAGGGCAGGGCAGGGCAAAGCGAGCTGAACACTCCAAGTACTCGCACTGAGTGCTTGTCGTTTATCAACTGTCAGCAGTGAAATGCATTTCAACAATGTGAATGCGAATGCGAATGCGCTGCCTCCCACTACCCACCACTAGCTCCAGGCAGCTCCTGTAGGGCACCCTCCCGGCAGTCCCGGCAGTCCCGTCAGTGCCTGACACTGGCAGTGACATGCAAATCGGGTTTTCTTCCTGTCAAGGCATTAAGTGTGTGCGATTTTCTTTCAACAAGACAATTTAACAGAAAAATGCATGCTCGACAGCTTGCCAATGCGTGTGCCGCCGCTCCCACTCGGAAGCAACTCGAAAGGATATGCGGAGCATAAAGGGCATCGCAATTGCAGTTATGAATAAATACAGATAGGAACTTGATTCTTCCCCCCGCCGCACTTTGTGGCTTGCCACATAAGTGCCACCCGCCCCGCCCCGCTGCTTCTAGGCCCCTTCTTCGACCGCATTGTGCCCACACTTTGGCGTGTGGTGGGGCGTGCTATCGCTGGATTTGCATGCCTGCACAAGCCATAAATGTCAATTGCTATAGCTAACGGAAACACCCCCCCTGCAGCCCCCCCCCCCCATGCAGCCAACGAGCACGGGGAGGCGAGAACGTAAATGGCAAGGAAATGAAAAGCGGCACACATCTGGTGTCATAATTATTGATGGAAATCGCTTCACTTCAGCGATAAGCAGATCCACTTGAACAAATGCTCGTTGAGGAAGGGTTACATTGGGCATTTTTATTTGGAAAAAGAGGCTTTTGCCCAGAGAATCCTCTGGCAATGGAACACAAATATACCTCGAATAGGAGGCCTTTAATATAATAATCTATGGCTCGATTTAAAACTACATTGCATACCAAAAGAGGCACCAGCAAGAACTCTGCTGGCAAAGAGAGAGAACGTAGAAATCTACGATTTTTGGGCGCATCAACCAAAGGGAAAAATCTCCCATTGCCTCACTCTATGAAATGTAAATTTGTGTGTGCTCCTTGGGCTCACTCACAAAGTAAGGCAAGGGCTGGGACTGGGGCTGGGACTGGGGCTGTGGCTGGGGCATGAACTGATTTAAATGCTAAAGTGAACGATTATCATTTCGATTTTGTATAAATAGCACATGAATAATTCATTGGCACTTACTTATGCGCCATCAAAGTGACTTAGGGATGCCTGCCCCCCCTGCAGAATGCTGTGGCTGTCCCAGCCACTACCCCGCCACCACGCCTGGCGATATGACAATATGATGGAGCGCCGGCTTATTGGTTCTAAGTCGCAGATACAATATTTGTCGCCGACATTAACACCAGTAGTCGTCAGTCAGTGAGTCAGTGAGTCAGTCGTTTAGATATCATAGTTTGATAAAGTCAACTTTTCGAATTAAAGTAATTTCCTGTTGTGCAACTTTTGCCCCACGCCCAAAGCCCCACCACACACATACTCGTAACTACTGGCAGCAGACATTGTCA